CTGTATAACCCAGTTTACTTCTGCAATGTCAATACCTCTGGCCATTACATCTGTACACACCAATATACCACTGAAACAAAAGACAAATAACCAGTCACTAGAGCCATTCCTCTCAGACACATATAATACAAATATTATTCCTTGTATTATAAAATCCTTACCTGTCCAACTTTCGAAACTCTGTGAAGATCTTATTACGTTTGTGTTTCATTTTGCCGTGAATGCTCATGACTTTTACATTCTTTATAAATGCTTCCAGGGCTTTCCCATAATACTCCACACAAGCACAGGTACTATGGTACAGTAAAGAACAGAACACTGATAAGTAGAGGACTTACAAGCTCTGCTGTTTAAAGCATTAACCTGTATTAGTCATTACCTGAAAAATACTAAATGCTTCTCTTGTTTCCTCTGGCGTAGAAAACTCACAAGATAATTGAACTTTTCATTTGCTTTGCAAATCTGTCAAACAAAAAACAAAAGGTTTTTTAAATAAAAATCAATCTTGATCAAGAAACAAATACCTTATTGCTGACATTATTCTGTTTTAAACAGAAGATATTTCCCAAGTCTTACAAGCATACAGAGAAGTCCATTAATGATCTTATTTCCTAACAGGCATTTTTGTTTTGAACCCACTGTTCTAACCCATGTCCAGTTTTAATGCGCATCTTAATGCATTCCACATGCGGGCCAATAAAGCTGACAGACTAGCTTGCTTTGACTCTTTCTCATTGATAACAGTTTCCTGTGTGAGGTTACTAAATGCAGACTGAACCTGATCAAAGTTAGTCTACGGTACAACAACAACAAAATATGGTCACATGACAGTAGCCCTTGTTAATCTGTCACTATATGACCACCTAACCTATAACTCCTGCCCAATCTAGGAGTTAACTCAAATCTCCAATATCAATAACTATAAAATGTAGCCATAAGCATGTACTTTTTAAAAATGTATACATGTCTGATTGCTTACCATGTAGCAATTTTGTAGCCTGGTTGGTGTTTTCTGGGTATTAGTGGCAGCCACTCCTTTCTCCTTTACAGTGATTCGCACGGGATTGCGCAGTCCAGCTCGTACAAGATTCTCCACCTCTTGGGTTTGTGTAGCTGAGAAAAGTCCGGTCCTCCTCTGCTTGGGCAGGAGGTCCAAGATAGTGTTAATGCTAAAATGAAATGGAAAGTTAATGCAGGAAATTGTAGAGAAAAGGCGCAAGGGCGATTTTACATGGACCATATTATGAATCACCTGGCTTCAAACCCCATATCCAGAAGCCTGTCAGCCTCATCCAAAATAAGAACATCCAAGGTCTTGACACTAGTGGCTAAATCCAGCCCATCTGACTGTTGACGGAACATGTCTTCTAACCGACCAGGAGTAGCTACAATGATGTTTCCACTGGTCAAATTAAGAAATATGCAATTTAAGTTATGATAAATGAATATACTTCTGTGACATTCAGGAAAATGAAGAACTGACAAATAAATGAGTTCTTGATACAGCAGTCAATTTTATAATACTAAACTTCAGTATTAATGTAATAAAAAGTTTAAACATTTTTATATTATCCGATTACCAATAAATGCCATAACTTCTAAGCAATTAATCAATATTATCCCCCAACCTACGTAGATTACTTTTTGTGCTGCCGACAACCACCGATTAGATTTGTCAATGTGAACATTGTTTTTAAACAGTGGCCTAGGCATTTCTAACAGAATTGTTTATGGGTTACACAATGCTTTTCACAATACAGATCAAAGACATGACAATGTGAATTTGATATTCTATTTTCTAACTTATGCTACAAACCACATACCCGTGTTCTTTACATTTCTTTACATCTTCAATCGGATTACTACCCCCAATAAGGAGGATCTGGCTAAAAAGAAACAGTAAAAAACAGTAAACATTCTTTTTGTCGAGGAGTTTGCAGAGATGTGCAAATCATGTTGATACATCAAAAAATGTAAAAGTAAAAAATTAAAAAAAACAGGCCATGCTGATTAAGTTTCCTGAAAACAATTTAAATACAGCTTTCATTTCAGAACAATTATAGAGAACAGCGGAAGAGTGGGAAATAAAATCTTACCTGAACTGAGGAAAATGTTTTGTGAAATGTGACAGCACCTCATCAATTTGTATAGCAAGCTCACGGGTTGGGGTAATGATTATAGCACCAACCTGAACAATGGTGGAAGGAAAAAAAAAAATCACTAGTACCTCTTGCAGATAAACAAAATAGATGGATGGAGTGGGGAAGGGTTTTATCTCCTGCCTGGGTTTTCTACTTTGCCAACAATTGGGAGATTTTCCCTGACTTCCTGTCAGTTGAACTTCTTGTTTCTTCTCTCCAGAACAAGTTTTTCATAACTTAGTTTACAGAAATCACTAGGAACAAATAGCAGTGTCACTTGTTTCTTAGATTCTCCACAAAAGTATACAAAGAATGCACTCAAGAGAAGCAAAAAAAAGGACAATCGGCTCATAGCAATACCTTGGGTGTCAGACAGTAAGTGAGGGGAAAATCTTCAACAGGCACACAGCAACAAAAACCTGACATAGGATTCTAACTTCTCCACATGTACAAACTAAAAAGAAAAGTATTTGGGTGAAGTTACAATTAAAGCAAACCTGTACTGAGTATGTATGGAGACTACCACTGTTGACCTCTGTTACTAAATACACTAGTATTGTGAGCACACCACTGAGGTTATATTGGCAGGGACAGCTGGATGACGCTACTGTCAAGAGCCCTAGATAGTAGTACAAACCTGGCCCGGATTGTAGTCCTTCCCAACTCTATCCAACACAATTAAGGTTTAAATATGGTTTACACAATGCTTTTTGACAATACAGATTAAAGACAAGACAATACAATGTGAATTTTTTGTCACAGTATGTACCTGATTTTTCTTTAGCTTTTCTTCTCTCTTCAGCAATATCTCCAGAAGGGGAATTACAAAGGCCAGAGTCTTCCCACTTCCAGTTATCTAATAAGAGATGCAAAAAATCAGAATATATTCCTGTGGACAAAAGAATCAACTCTGGAATAAGAAATGTCATTTATTTTCAATCTATACTTTAACAAGACTGATGTACTAGGCATAGTACAAATCAAAAGCAGAATCTAGCTGTAGTGTAATAACATGAGTGCTACAATATGCTTACCGCTTCTGCAGCAATGTCTTTGTTGCCCATAAAGAGAGGAATGGTTGCAGACTAGAAAACAAATATAGCCAGTGTTTATTTTAATCTCTATTTCTAGACTGTAAGCAAAAGTCACTGTGATTTTGATGAAATCAATGTCTTATTCAAGGAAAAGAAAAATATAACCCAAATCAAACATAAAAAGGTATCACAGCAGTCCATATCATTGGACATGGCAATGACAAATGAAGGAGTATATTGTAGTTACTCACAGCAACTACTGGTCACTATTCATTGGCTTATAACAACCAGAAAAATTGAACATGGCTGGTTTTATTTACTACACCTTGTACATGCTCCTTATACCTCTTTATAGAACCCTAAGATCCAGCAAATCAACCTTCATAACACCCGTATGGTCAAATGATACATGACATTCCTTATAATAAACAATGTATTTGTTTTGAGCAATGAATGCTGTAAACCCCTTTTACTCTAAGCATTAAACTAGTTTATGCTTTAAGCTGCATTGCCATCAATTGTTTCAAAACAATGGCAGCTATGTAAACATTTGAGATTTCTGTAATACAATATTTTAATTTTATACTTTGTAGAACTGCAACCAAACAAAACACCATTTAATTCCCCCATTTTACAAGCCATGACATTTTTCAGCTTTAGCAAGTACTTGGATTCTGTATTAGTTCAGGGTTGCCACCTGCCAGCTGAAAATTAACATCAGACATGCAATTGGAGTGTCTGCACTGTAAACTTGGTAGTAGAAGGAGGCAGTGATCAGGTGAGCTTACAGGAGGGAAAGTGTTCATTGTGGGCATTAATAGAGCAATCCAAAGCACAAGCAGAAGTCGGTCAGCAAGCAGTCTGCTAAAAAAATTCTGAAATAAGGGGTCAGTCCCCAAATGACAGGCAGGCCTGTATACATATACCATATTACCCAGTGTGATATGGATACATGAGGAGGATCTTCTCACTAGGTACAGGGAATTGTATTGGCACAGTCATATCTGACCTTATCACTGTCTCTCCTGTATACAATAACCAACCCAGTAATGTATGTGTGATGTGGATACATGAGGAGGGTCATCTCACTAGGGACAGGGAATCGTATTGGCACAGTCAGATCTGACCTTATCACTGTCTCTTCTGTATACAATAACTAACTCAGGAATGTATGTGTGATGTGGATACATGAGGAGGGTCATCTCACTAGGGACAGGGAATCGTATTGGCACAGTCAGATCTGACCTTATCACTGTCTCTTCTGTATACAATAACCAACTCAGGAATGTATGTGTGATGTGGATACATGAGAAGGATCTCTCACTAGGGACAGGGAATTGTATTTGCACAGTCAGATCTGACCTTATCACTATCTCTTCTGTACACAATAACCAACTCAGGAATTCCCTAGAAACTAAAGACAGGGAACTGCATTGGCACCGTCTTCTTCAGCTCATACCTGCACCGGGGTCATATGACTGAAGTTCAGTTCTCGGAGTGTTTGCCGTATCTTGTCATTTAATCTCTCCGGTAGAGTGTCCCATGTCCCTTCTGTTACATTCTCCATCTTCCTGTAAGTAAAACGGCCACACGTGTGTCCAGTGCGCTCCTCTAAAACATCCGCAGCAACAGGAATAGCGACTTCCGGGTTCCGCTGTAGGTTGAAGGACACGGCATGCAGCTATCACGTAGCTGCTTCCTTGTCGCCTTACATGAATAGTGTACCGTCCTGTTCGGTAGGCTGACAGGCTCGTCTCATAACACAGGCTAACCTCGACCAGTCCCCTGCAGAAATCATACTACTGGACAGCAAAGGAGGCTACATAGAGCACTAACCGGTTTCCTTCTCACCCATGGAGAGTGCCGAACTGGAGAGGCTGAGGGAAGAGATCAAGAGAAGAGACCAGGAGATTCACAGCCTGAGAGAACAACTCAATGACCGGGCTTCTTCATGCCAGCACGGTGACAGGTCCTCTTCATGCCAGCACGGTGACAAGTCCTCTTCATGCCAGCACGGTGACAAGTCCTCTTCATGCCAGCACAGTAACAAGTCCTCCTCCACACCCAGGCTTCGCAGCACTGATGAAGAACTGCCTGCACTCTCCCGGGACTCCTTGTCCAATGGAGAAATCTTACGCTACAGCCGCCAGTTGGTGCTCCCAGAGTTTGGGGTCAGGGGTCAGCTACGCATCTCCCAGTGTTCGGTGCTGGTTGTGGGATGCGGTGGGCTTGGCTGCCCCCTGGTGCAGTATTTGGCTGCAGCCGGAGTTGGACGATTGGGGCTGTTGGACTATGACGATGTGGAGGTGAGCAACCTTCATAGACAAGTTCTCCATAGTGAGGAGAGGATAGGGATGCCAAAGGCCATATCCATGGCCACCACATTGCAGCAGCTGAATACCACTGTTGAATACGTCCCGTACCAGGCGATGTTGAGTCCTGCCAATGCTGTGCCGCTTATCCGCCAATATGACATAGTAGCGGACTGCTCAGACAACGTACCCACCAGATATCTGATCAATGATGCCTGCGTGGTTGCTAGAAAGCCGCTTGTATCGGCCAGCGCACTTCGCTGGGAGGGCCAGTTAACTGTATACAACCATCAAGGAGGACCATGTTACCGCTGCCTGTTTCCCATCCCTCCACCTCCAGAAACTGTCACCAACTGCGCTGACGGAGGAGTTTTAGGTGTCATCCCTGGGATCATGGGGTGTCTACAAGCTCTAGAAGTGCTAAAATTGGCCTCTGGAACAACTCCCAGTTATAGCGGCACCATGCTGATGTACGACGCAATGGAGAGCCGTTTCCGCAACATCAGGCTTCGAGGGAAACGGGCGGACTGTGCCGTTTGTGGTGGTGAGTCAGAGCCATGTATCCTAAAGGACTATGAGGCGTTCTGTGGTTCTTCCGCCTCTGATAAGTGCCGGACGCTGAACCTGCTGACTCCCGCTGACAGGATGACCGTTCAGGAGTACAAAAAGCTTCTGGATGATAGAGCGCCTCACCTGCTCATTGATGTCCGACCGCAGGCCGAGGTGGACATCTGCCACCTGCCCCACTCTGTCCATATCCCACTGGGCCAACTTGAGGCTGGGAATGCTGTGGATGTCCTGGGGAAAAAGATGAGTGGAACAGGCGAGTGCGGCAGTCACCAAATGAAACTGATCGTCATCTGCAAACTTGGAAATGACTCACAGAAAGCTGTGAAAATTCTGCAGCAACTTTCTAAAGATGGAATGTGCAAGTTTATAGCGAAGGATATTGCAGGGGGTCTGATGGCATGGGCTGAGAAGATCGACCCTGCCTTTCCCAAATATTAGAGTGGCCGGTATAGGGGGGAACTGTCATTAACTGGAGGATAGGAGGCACCGCAAGATTGCAGAATATAATGCTGGTTTGTCTCTTTTACCCCCAAACCTGCAGTACAAATGTTATCTCGACAGTCTTCCATGTCATGGCTCAGGTGTTTTTCTATGTGCGGGCGGGCGGGCAGGCAGCTTTTTTGTTGTCAGCATCGTGCAAAATTTGAATTGTCCAAATTAAGAGGATAAAAACTATAATAATATAATTAACAATAAACCAGAATGAATAAAAAAGATGTGTGATCCTTTCCCTCTTCGTGTGATGATTGTTTCTGTGTATAAAGACAGCTAGGGTAATCGCGTCATCTGTAGAGGCTTTCCATTTCTGTGCATATGGTGGACTGTGTGCGAGGAAGATGAGCCCAGATGTTTATAAATGGGGGTATCTAAAATCAGGAAATGTTTGATTGTAGAATTACACATTCTGGCTGTAACCTATTACACTAAACCCACACTCTGTGCTGCCCATATTCATCTTTACAGCTGCTTTGATCACCACCACTGCTGCTCTCCATGACTTTCATGCTTTGTAGGTTTAAAGGAGCATGTGACACACACCCTGCCACCCCACAATTCCGTGCTTGTGGCCATATGGTGGGGGTGTGCCATTCTGCATGCAGTCATTACCAATTCCTGCTAACGTGGTGGCACCTAGCACAAGGTAGGGAGGTAGACTGAGGAATTGTGTGCTGATAGGTATAGTGCAGAGTGCAAAGTCAGTGATGGGAACATGAATGACAGGCAAACTATGGATGATTGCATGCCAACTTTCTTACTAAACTTGTTGTGCGTGAAAGATGAGATCAAAAAATGTAAGCTCGGTGGGACAGTTGGTATAGTGATGCTGAACCATTTTACTGTCATCACCTTTATCTTACCTAAGGGATGTATTTAAATTATAGAATTTAAAGTAAACTTGTCATGAGACAAATACACGGGCTACCATGTTTGATTTGCTGTTATGTTGAATTCACTGGCTTTAAAGGACAACTTCTTTAAAAAAAAGAAAAAAATCCCCAGCCTAATATAAGCTATAACCCTTTATCCAGGTGCTTACTTATCTCTTCCTGATGGTAGCGACCTTCTATGTTTGCAGCCTCAGAGGCAAAATCTTGTCCACCATTGCCCATGCCTGTACCGTTACTCCCCATAGATTGTAATCGGACTATACTCCTAGCATCTCTAGTGTAGTACAACCCGATTTAATTCTATGGAGAGTCATTGTGCAGCGCAGGTAGCTCCAGCGAACACTTCGGCACCAAGGATATGAAAACAAGGATGTACTTTCTGAGTTGCTGACCTAAAATATCGCAGATCAAAGAAAAGTTAGACATCCTTATTTGCATACACCATCTGCCCGATATTTTACAGGCCTGGTCAGTGAAAATGGGACTTGTTGGCAATGGCCCTCTAGCATTTTAGGATAACAGCAGTTTTTCTTCTTGTCAGGTTTCCTTCAATGTTCAAAGCAACATGACTTGTGTAGTGTCTATATTACTGTTATAGTGGATGTGTGCATAGAGAGATACTTCCATGCAACGTCAAAGGATTCAAAATAAAAATCGGCAACATATCCAGAACATTGTTTGTCACAGCTTCCTCTGCTGCAGTTTTCTGCCTGACTGCAATAAATTCCAGCCCTTAGGCTGGGTTCACACCTAGGCGTATTGAATATGCCCGTCTTTCGCGCGGTTTTTTTACCGCGATTCGCCGTAAAAAACCGCGCGACAAACACGCATTTCTGAGGGCTACTTGGCTGTATCCCAATGGAAACGCCCAACAAAAACGGCCCAAAGAAGTACATGTACTTGTTTGGGCGTAGGCCAGAGCTTTCCTAAACTATTATTATCTTACATTTTGCAGTACAGACAAAGTGAGGGCCGGTTCACACCATAATACTGGAACGGTGCATTTTGCACATGCTAGGTATGCTGGTGTGTGCATTGCCATTCATATGAATGTCACGCCAAGACATGCATTGCAGCACAACGTAAGTTACCGCAATACCTTGCATTGTAATGCAGTGAAAAAATAGTGCATGCTCTAGATATGCACTAATATTTTTTTACGCCATGCATGGTATTCTGGTACAGCATGCTGCGCTACAACGCATGCCTGCAAGGTGGCAAGTTGAGGTGCCTTTCAAATGAATCGTAGCACACCTGGTGTATGATGCATTGCACTTTGCAATAGCGTGCACTAGCGAGAACTATGAGGTGAGTGAATTTCACTAAATAGATCGGAAAGTGAGCGAACGCATACCGCCGCTCGCTCACTTCTCCATCATGTCCCCGCAGAGAGCCGTGACTGTCACTCACGGCTCCCTGCAGGGATTCCCCCAGGTAACCGTATCACCTATGCCTGTTCCCACAATTTAAAGCCGTGCCAGTGTTCTGGAAAAGTTGCTAAGCATAGCGTGTTCCCTGTTGTGGGTGGTGGTTCTGGGTGGCCCAGCTATTGGAACAGGCGGCTGTCTGTCAGGTTGAATCTTTGTTCCAGCTGCCACAGCAGGCATAAGTGGTGAGGAATACGTAAAAGGTGTCAAACAACATAATATAATTTTCCCTTCCTGGCTACTCCTGAAGATGGCATACTACAGGTCTGACCCCTAACCTCACAAGACCATGGTCTATTAGGCCTTGTTCACACAAACAGCAAAGGGGTGGTAAAAAGATGATCTGCTGTTTTACCACCCCAACTGCCCAACTAAAACCTAACATGGCTGCTCAGGTCTGCAGTATGTACATATGGCAAATTTTATACAGCATGTTTTGTTTGGAAAGAGGCATAGCCTGCCAAACATGACTATTGTAGACAATGGAACTGCACCACAATTGTGTACCGCCACTGATCGCTTTTTAGAGGGCGGTAAAAGAGGCCTTAGTCTATAAAAGATACCACAGGATGTCCTGCTTGAAATGTCAGGTGCAAAAAGAACATACAGAACTGCTTAGAAGGCAGCCATGATTAGTGTTGGGCTCGATGTTCGAGGCGAAACGTGAGTTCTACTCGACCATCGGCAGTTCGTGTGTTCGGTAGGCTGTGGACCTGCCGAGCATCCCGCACCAGGCACTGTACCTTGTGAGCCCTGATTGGCTAAAGCCTTGCACCTGACCACAGATCAGGTGCAAGACTTTGCCCAATCAGGGCACAGAGAACTGTGAAGCCATGATTAGGCAAACTCATGATGACTCTGCCCAGGCATGGCTCAGCTGCCACAACTATAAACAGTTGGGCGGAGCCAGCTTTCACTGCTAGCTCCGCCCAAGTGTTTATATGTTACTGGCTTTTGTCAAAATGCCATTGTGCAGCGGGTGTTCGTCGCGAGTGAACGGGAGGAGCTAAAAGACGGCGGTCGTCTTTTTTTATTATTTCTATTTACCGAACAGGTATTCTGCTAGGGGGCGCGCGCGAGCATAAAACAAAATGACGTACAATTAAGTGACCCCGCTGGGAAGGATCCGCCATCCACCCGTTTTTGTTTTTTTTACACAAGTGGTTAAGGGGGAACCCCACACACTTTTTTTTTTTTTTTTTTACACGGGGTCCATCCTAAATATTTCTACCAGACCTTAAGGGTCTGGTATTACTTTTGGGGGGAACCCCAGGCTTTTTTAAAAAGACATTTGGTCCCTCCTAACATTCCTACCAGACCTAAAGGTCTAGTATTGTTTGGGAGGGGAAACACACCGTACAGATGTGTCACTTTACAGGCAGTTTAAGGGGGGCCCCCTGGCATGATATTTACAGGAATTTTTCATTTTTATTGTTACCCTTTAAGTGATGTTAAAATCACTGCTCCTTTAAAAACAGTATTTTTAAAAAAGTTTTCTTTATTTTTTTAAATTGATTGCTGTCCCCCAGGTCAGTACCCGGATTCCCATAAACCTTTTATGGCCAATAACTGGCATAAAAGCCCTCTTTAACTGCCTCCGGGCCGGCCGAAGTAGAAAAACGGCCGGCCCGGAGCTCTCTAGATCTGAGCAGGCGTCTCTAGACGTCCGCTCAGACACGCCCCCATGGATGTTCTAAAGTTTGAATTCGAACCGAACTCGGACCTGTTCGGTTCATCACTAGCCATGATCAGTCCAAGGATCCTCAAGTAGGCCCACAGGGAAAACCAATAAGTCCTCCTCCTACATAGTCCTGATGTTTCTCTAGGGGGTTGAGCACTTTTGACAGTTCAGTGTCCAGAATCAAGCCCAGGCACTCCCACAGTAGGGAGAAGGGTGCAGACAGGATGAGCGGGATCTCCATAGTGGTCTTCCTTGATGGCCTACTATCAAGATGTGACCCAGGAGCTAGAGAAGAATCTGAGTTCAGCTGGCTCCTGAACGCCAGGAGCCAGACGAACATGGAGTGTCAAGTGTCACCCAGAGATTCTCCTCTAGCTTCTGGGTTGCATCTCGATAGCAGGGAGACCACTATGGAGATCCTGCTCAAACAGATCAGTATTAGCACTTTTATGAAGGCTCTAGGTGTGGAGGACAGCCCAAATGGGGGACGATCCACTTAATAGAGTGACACGATTACCAATGAAATAGATGATGTCCTGAATTACCAACCAAGGTCATTTAGAGATCTGAATTAAAAACTCAGAACTGTTCTGGGGAAGGAACCAGAACAATAACCCTTCTTGCCAAGAGGCCCTTGAAGTGCCAAACAGATCTGCCAGATGCAAGTTCAGTGGAAGGAAATTCTCCAAACCAAGGAATTAACATCAAGTTTGTAGCATGAACACAGGCATCTTAGATATAGCTGGGCCAATAGTCAGCAAAAGACAGAAGGCACCCTTCCACCAAGATCTTTTGGTACCAACAGGAGAACTAGGTGGAGTGGACATAATGCTCCTGCTCTGCGCATCCACTGCTGCAATTGCCACTGGCTCTATGGGGTCCAGAAAAGGTGCATGGCTTAGTGGGGGGTAGAGGAGTGTAGGTAGCACTAAAACCACTGGT